GGAAAGCCAAGTATGTCAGACCTAATATTGTCCTGCCAGGCCTATTTCCTGGGGCAGTAAAGGGCTCTCTGTTGGAGTTAACTTAATGTATGCAGCTGGGATCGATGGGGACCTGAGTTCAAATGTGCTTCAGAACAACAGGCTCAAGCATTCCTCCACGCCCCTGGGGAAGAGATCTAGGAGGAGATGAGGATCCTCGTTCCCTGAAGGGGTCCACCAGGGAAGATGCCCAAGGGGTCCCTGGATTGGGTATGCCCTGCGTGGTGGGCTGGCATGGAGGCTGGACAGAGAGGCACAAGACTGCCCTGGGGAGCACACACGGGGACCGCCTCTCCTGGGAACAGCTGAGACAGAAAATGCTCATGGGCAGAGAGGACATTTTAGAATTTTTAACCCACTTCTGACATTTACGAATGGGGACACAAAGGCCTGTAGAGAGGGAGGGGTTTACCAGTATCCAAGTGCCAGTTAAAATCAGAGCTGGGACCTGGGTCTTTCACTCCAGATTTTCTTTAGGAAACTGGAGAAGGCAGAAAGAAATTCCTGTTTTCCTTCCACTTTGGTTTACTTCAGAAGTAGTTTTTGGCGCCTGAGAAAGCGATGAATTGAGGGAGGGCAGGAAGCTGGCTTTGAAATTGTGCCATGGATGTATCAAAAGATCACAAAACATCAGAAACAAAAGGCATCAAAACCACAACTCTCACGGTTTACAGATGATGAGACTGGAAACTGGAAATGCTGGGTGACCAAGCCAGAGGCACCTGAAGAGTGTGCCACAAAGTTGGACAGGAGCCCTGGCCTCCTGATTCTTCCCAGTTCTGTCCCCTGTAGCTCAGCTGCGTCCCAGCCAGTGACCACCACTGACTGAAGCTTTTCATGTGAAATGCTGGGTTTTCACCCCAAATCTTCATATGAAACGTACTTCTGTCTTCTCTCTAAAACCCAACTTGGGGGTATGTATCGATTCACAGTTCAGTATCAGCCATATGAAGCTCACTGAAAATTCTTTACAGATTTCAGTGTCAGGAAAAAAATACTCCCCCCTCTGAGAAGTGAGCATATTTTCCCATTTCTGATAATGCAAACCATGAGAATAATTATGTTTCCCTGTTTACTCTGGCTGCCAGGAAGTTCAGGGGCTAGTTTAACATACAATCACATATGTGTTTCCTCCTTTTTTCCTTTGTTCTCAACTTCTATTTAATTTACTTTAAGACATGTGTCTTTGGTTATAAGAGGACTGAATTCCTTTTTGGGGAAGATGGAGATGCCATCATCATCATATAATGGTTATGATGATAGTAATAATACATATAATAATAATCATAATAATAATAATAACAACAACAACAACCATGTCTGCAGCTCCCCTCTGTGCCTGGCACAATGCTATATACTTTACAAGCAACCTCTGTAACCCGTAAAACAGCCTCGAAGAGTGACTTTGTTAACTTCCAGGCAGAAACAAAAGCTTAGAAAGATGAAGTGATTTTTTCAAGGTCACACAACAGGAGAGCTTCAGCTTTCTCATCTGTAAACTGGGTGTGGCAAGAGTGCCTACCTCACAGGGTGGTTTGGGGATGAACTGCTACAGTCCATGTAAATCACCAAACACTCTCTCTGCCACACACGAGATGCTCTATCCATGTTAATTATTATAACCTTAAAACAATATATATGATTGGGGCGCCTGGGTGGCTCAGTCGGTTAAGTGTCTGACTTCAGCTCAGGTCATGATCCCAGGGTCCTGGGATCGAGCCCCATGTTGGGCTCCGGGCTCTGCATTTAGCGGGGAGTCTGCTTCTCTCTCTGCCCCTCCCCCCCCGCTCGTGCTCTCTCTTTCTAATAAATAAAATCTTAAAAAAAGTAATATATAGGATTGTTACATTAATACTATATCTAATTACATAGGTGTGGATATAAACATTACTGGATTTGGGTCTGTCTAACTCCTTCCACTGTCCTAAGATTTTCTTTGATCCCAACTTAGCACTTACCCCATGTCCCAGTTTGATGGGAGCCACATGTGGATAACTGAGAGCCACCTCTGTGGCAGCCCCAGCTCCATCTGCCCATAGCTACTTTCAAGTCATCCAGATGTGTGTGAGGCGACTGTTCCCCGGGAGTCAGACTAGCGCCACAAAGACAGCAGTGCTGATGGGCAGACAATCCTCTTGGTGCATCTGATGAGGCCCTCTCTGCCTGCTGCAGTGTCATAGTGAGCCTCCATGACAAATCTACCCTGTGACAAAGCTCCTATTTGGGGACCACTCTTTTGGGTGGTCCATATGGTCTGGAAAATCCTCCCCCACTCTGTCCTTGCTGGCAAACTTTCTAGTGGGGTCACCTGGTGTCCCAACCACCAAAGCCAAGGCATCCAGAATGCCCACAGAAGTGCAAATCTGAAACCTGTCTTCTTCCAGGTTCTTCGCCTGATCGAGATGTTCTCAAGACAGTGGGGACACTGTGACCATCGAAGCCACTCAACACAGTTAGGATGATGTCCTCATTTATCCCAAGGAGAAGCAGCCTGGTGTTCAAATTACTATGCCAAGGTTAAAATTCTTTCCCCTATTATTTCAGTCTGTCATGTCCACAGATGACCAGAGTAGCTGCCGCACTTCGCTAGAGATGAAAGGAGTGCAGGCTGTTGCCACCCGCCCCCAGCATTATTAATGACTTCCTCTCACGGTAACTGATTACCCCCAATCAGTTCCAAACGCACAGGACTCATTTGCTATTGAGCCAGCTGAAATTGACACGTGCAGCTTACCATACAACATGCAACAAGGCAGAGGAGAGACGGGAAATTCTCCACTGGTTGGCTTACCTATGTCTGAAATCTTTATTTCTGACAGAAGACAGGAGAGCAGGGAATAGAAGAAAGAATGAGGTGTTAGCAGCGGGGTTAGAAGCATTATTAGCAGCCTGAACACTTGACAGCAATGGTACTGTACAATACTATAATAAATAAAGACTCAGCAGCTATGATAACTGATTTATTTTATATTGGATATTACTTGTCAGTGAGCTCACTTACAAGCAGCTACATATCACGGAAGAGGCACGGTTTCTCCAGCACCACTACCTCTGAGTTCACGGGAAGAGGAGGAGGCTGACAAGCCGCTCCCCTCACCAGGGCTAAGACAGAGGCTGGAACATCTGATTCCCTCCCCCATGCACAGACACGTGCCCAGAGATACGCCCGCTCACTGCTGTGTCTCTGTCCCCGTGCACGCGGCCCTACAGAGAGCACTCAAAACTCGCGAAGCCCCTGCGATCCTCCTCATAACGGAATACAGAATTGGAGACACACTATACTTAGAAGGGAGGGGGTCAACAGGGAAACAGGCCGGGAAGAAAATATATTAAGATGATAACATATTGATAAACTTATTTTTCTTTCCAGATTTCATTAACTCCTCCCTTCCTTGCCTATTGTCTTCCATGATCTCCCCTCAAATGTGGGAGGGAGGCAGGGAAAATGGGATGTCTTATTTGAAGATGTGAAAATGGGGGCCCAGAGAGGGTAAATGTCTTGCCCAAAGTTGTTCAGCTTCTCTGCTAAGGTGGCCTGACTCCTTAGTCGATGGCTCTTACCATTGTACTCTAGGAGACAGGAAGACAATGTGAGCAGTTGACTGGAGCAAACAGATGTCTGTGGCAGTGAAATTCATAAAAGAGAAAAAGGCAGAGAATAACCAGTGGTTCTCATTGGCCTGATATCTCATCTAGCAGTCCAGAGAATTTGAACTTCTGATTCTTCTCGTGGCAAAGACCCTCTGCTTCACTTGTCCGTGTGTGTGTGTGTGTGTGTGTGTGTGTGTGAGAGAGAGATAGATATAGAGCTAGAGCTAGAGCTAGAGCTAGAGCTAGAGCTAGAGCTAGAGCTAGAGCTAGAGCTAGAGTATGCACCCTTTCCTCCTGAGGGCTGCCACAACTGTGGTCAGCCAGCAAGCTTTCCCTTCCTTACACATGCATCCTGCAGAGTGAAATTGTCAGCAGGCAATTACCTCCAGACCTCCAGGAAATAATTTAACGTGGCATTAGAGCCAAAGTGGCCCTCCTTGGGTCAGGTGACAATTCTTTAGTGAGGCAGAAGCTGTGTGACGGATGGCCTTCTGGGTTTGGGTCTGCCATTCTAGAAGCTGGACTTTGGGCAGATTCTTTAAATTCCCCAAGTCTCCTTTTTCTTGCTTGTCAAGGGCAATCATGATAAGTATCTTGCAGGACTATTATACTGGGCAAATAGTTGGGACCTCACAAAAGTGAGTTTCCACATCCCTGGCCATTTTGGAGGAAGGCTTTCCAGCTCACAGGCCTGTGCTGTTCACATGGATCCCAGTCCAGGAGACGGGCAGATCCCCTTCCCTAAAGCAGTTCTGAGGAACTTGGTGCCATTTCTCCTGAAAGGGAGCGTGGGGCTCCCCTGTCTTTAATCGCAGCTTCTCTGTAACCCTAGAACCCACCCTATGACAATGCTTTGGCTCTAAAAAGACCTGCTTTAGGGAGGCCTAGAGAAAATGCAACCCATCAGGCCCTTCCCTGAGCTCTAGGTGTGGCTGTGATGAGTGTTTAGTAACAGGGCCACACCTGGCAACACTTGCCTGGGGGCTGTGTCCACCCTGATGTCCTTGTCCTTCTAAGAAGACTCATGGGACTAATTCCAATCTGTTTGGTGCCAGGAAACAGGAAGAAATTCAAGGGCTTCCAGAGTCTAATTCATGGTTGGTAGCAGACCTTTACATCTTCTGGGCGCCAAGGATATCCCCCTGTCCCACAAGTGGTCTGTCTTCATTGCAGTGCTCTATGGAAAACAGCACCTGCTTCCCCAGTTTATAGTTCAGCCCCTGAGCCGGGAAGTGAAAAGTCCCAGATGGACTCTGACAGGTGAGGCTCTGTCTATCCCCTCTTCTGGGTGCAGTAGGTAATGCCAGGTGGGCCCACGGGATGGCCAAGGGACGCTGTTAGAAGTGTGAGGAGGGCATCACCTTACATACCTCAACTCCAGGATGTTGGTGACGTTCCCAGAGGGGAAGATCCTTCGGATGTAGTTGAAGTCTCCCACATAGAGGCTGCCGTCGGAGCCACACGTGAGGGCCACAGGGGCCAGGAGCTTATTGCCATCAGCAAGGCCATTGCAGCTGGGGCAGGAGATGCTTCTCCGGCGCCCATTGCCCATGATGCTCCCGATGACAGGTGGCTGCTGAGACACAAACTGGTTCTCCCCATTCCCTTTGTGCAAGATGCCTGGGACAAGGACAAAAAGGCAGAATCACCAATGGAGCAGGAAATGGCCCTCTTCTGTGGCCAACCACAGAGTCCCCTTGATTTTGCAAGGAATGCAAGATCTCTGCCTACCATTTCTAGACTCACACCCCAGGGCTGCCGCACCCCCATCATAACACCCAGAATATCCCGAACAGGCCATCCTGCCTTTCTGATTAAACGCTCACGACTCTAAGATACGTCCTATTATCCCCTCTGTATTAACGGGGGGGGGGGGGGGGGGGGGGGGCTGCAGAGAGGGCGGGGTGGGGGGGAAGGACAGGCTAGTGGCTCACCTGAGGTCACACAGGTGGTAGCAGAAGCGCTCCTGAGCCCAGGCCCTGAATCATTTATTGCTTCTCAGATAGTACACGTCTAGTCCCTGTCTCTATCACAGCGTGCATTTTTTATTACACTTACCCATTTTTGTCTCTTTAGATTGATACCATTTCAAGTGTGGAAACATGTCTTCGCCCTTTCTGTACCCCCAGTGCCTAGCGCAGAACTGGACACAGAATAGATCCCAATGAATGTTTATAGAAACCTATGAGTGAAGTTCAGTCTCCTCTCACCAGGGTACAGTCAAAAGAGACCTGGGTTTTTACCTGGTTTTGCTCCTAATGGACTGATCCCAGATGTTGCATAGGACTCCCCACTGCTTTACCTGCTCTTGGGCCTCAGTTTCCTTACCAGCAAAATGAAGGGACTGAGCTCAGTGACTTGCAGGCTTCATCCCATACCCCCACTGTTTCTTTTTAGGCCCAGCTCACCTTTGTCTCCCATATTACTGCCACAGCCTCCAAACTGGACTCCCTGCCTCCGACCTCACCTCTTCCATACTGAAGCCTGAGTTTTGGGTTTATGGTCACCAGAATCTTCTCCCAGGCTGTCACCTATTAGCTGTGTCCTTTATTAAACAGGTATCTTTCATTCTTACATAGTCTAATTAATCATTTTGCTACTGTAACATTTGTGCTCTTTTTGGTTTTAGGGAATCCTTCTCTGAGATCATAAAGATATTCTCCGATGTTTTCTTCAATTAGTTTTAAAGTGTTATCTTTCAAATTTAGATCTTTAATTAACCTTATTTATTTTGTATTTAGTATGAACTTAATTTTACTTTTCTCCACCCGTTGAGCCAGTTTTCCCAATGCCAATTTCTACCATAACTATCCAGCCTCCACTGATACCTGAGGCTACCCCTGTCATGGACCAGTTCCTATGTATGCATGGCGTGGTCATCCACAGAGATCCATCCTGTCCCCATCCTTATTCTGCAGCTACAGAAGCCCTGCTGTCTGGCCGGGCACAGGACGATCTAGGGCTGCCTACACTTGGCGGGTGACCAGTGGTGTGGAAGAAGAAGTGGGGTGGGCAGCTGCTGGGAGGTGGAAAGGGCTTGCCCTCAGCCCTTCTACTCCTTGCTGGCTGGGACATGAATAGGAAGGCCAGAATTAAGCAGTCACCCTGAACCATCACCTTGGGTTTGGAGGCGCGAGCAGAGCAATGGGAGGGGAGGAGCCCGGACCTCTGACCCCGCAGAGTGCCAAGCCAGCCCTGGGCTCTCTCCTTCCAGACTTGGAGCTGAATGAGAAACAAACTTTTAACTCATTTGGAATTCTGTTATTTTGGCTTTTCTGACGTGCTTAGCTGAAACTTGTCCTCCTGACTACTTACAGGTCAGTTTCTGAATGCCTTGCTCTGTCCCCTAGAGTCCATTTATCTGCTCCGGTACCAGCACCAGCACAGTATTGGAGACTGTGGTTTTTCTAGGATAGCTGAATATTGGGCAGTGCCTCTTTCTTCTTCTTATTTTAAAGGCTACCTTAGCTATTGACAAATCTTCATGCTATCATAAATTCTAGAATCAGTTTGTCGGTTTTTCCTTAAACCATGTGGCCGTTTTGATAGGCATTCACTGCACCTTCAGATGAGGTGGGAGACATCATTACCGTATTTAGTTGTCCCATCCCAGACCACAGTCAAGGTGAGCTATCTAAAATATAGAGCTGATTGTGGCACTTGCATGCTTGGAACCTTTCACAGGCTTGACATCTGCCTCTGAATGAAGTTCAAAGTCCTAATCTTCTCAGCCTGGGCTCCAGCTGCTCCAGCCCCAGCTTTGGCTTTTGCTCTTGCCTTCATTTCATCCTTTGCTCAAACCACAGCGAACCTTCTCTCCAATTACTCTTCTTTCAGGCTTTTGTGCTTTGTTTGGCACATACTGTGCCTTCTGCCTAGAATGTTCTCCCTACTTGATATATAGGGCTAATCCTACAGACCTTTTGAGACTTAGTTCAGAGGTTCTCTTTGGAGAGAACCCTGCTTAACCAAGAGGCTGAGGTGCCCCCGTTCCATGCCCCAGGGTCCTGTGCTTTTGTGTGGGATGGCACAGCATGGAGACTGCCTGGGAAGCATCTGGTATCTCACCAGAGTGTCAACTCTTGAGGCCTTTCATTTCTGTATCCCCAGTGCACAGTGGTGACAAGCACAGAGCAGGCTCCCAAGGAACATCTCTGTTGACTAATCCTTCGGACGACTGATCACACATGAGCCCCTGTAATTTGAAGTGTGCATTTTTTTTTTATCTGGCAGGGCACGAAGGATATGAGACCAGGGTCACACCCGTGGCCTGGCTGCTGGAATTCTATTCACGCACTCACCACTTTGGATGTTGAGGGCGTGATGTTTGTCCAGGTTCCATCCTCCCAGCTTGGAAGCATCGATTTCATAGCCCTGCAGCACAGCTGTTCTTTTTTCCCAGAGGATCAGATCTGGGCAGGATTCATACTCATAGCCCACAGAAACTATAGAAAACAAAAGGTACAAAATGCACAGGTGAGCAAAGCCTCTGCTTTGGCTTCGATCTGCATGCAAGGCTCTGGCTTGTCTTTTGTAGGAAAGGAGAAAGGATCCTATTTCTCAGTGGGAACCAGATGTATGTGCAGTACTAACACAGAGATGCCGAGCCTGAATATCCTCTTTTCAAAGAGCAATTGTGCATTATTAGGAAAAGTTAAAGGAAATCCACTAACCACCTTAAAAAGGACCCAGGTGAATTGATTCCCGGGACATGATCCTCTAGTATGAAAAATACTTTAGGCACAAAAATCTTCACTGCAGCGTTATTTATAATAGTGCAAATTGGAAGTAATCTAAAAGTTCAAAAGGGCCTAGAGGTTGAGCCCATCAGAATGTACCCACTTGAGGAATATTATGCCACCACTGCATATTTTGGTTATGAAGATAATGGGGTGACACAGAAAATGTTTATGGAATAATGCTAAGTTGGAAAGACTGGTTATATACAGTATTATATCTGTGATTAAAAAAATCTACACACACACACAATTTTAGTATATGTGCTGCCGAAGCGAGCACTACACACACACACAAAATAACTATACACAAAGGAAGAAAATAAATTTAAATGTTAACAAGTAGTGGTATTATTTATAGAAACATATATGAATTTATTTATATTTTTTGTCCACTTATCAAATTTTTATGAATGATAATGATACTACTTTACTAGAGAAAAAAAATTCAATATTGTTTATAATGAATACATGGAAAAGGAGCCCAGTGAGGTACTTTGAAAGCTGGAGGTTGCTTTGAGGTCTTAAAGCTTGAAAATCCCCTGGTTTCACTTCTGTTTCATAAATCCAGGCCTCCTTGGAAGGGCACCAGGATGCAGGCTAACCAGGGCAGGCATCCCAAGGTTGGGTTTGTAAAAAAGCCTGTAACTGTCCTATGGAAAGGATCTAGCAGAGACAGGAATGCCATTTCTTTCAAGTATCCTCCTGTGCAGACACTATTCGCCAAGTGGGCAATATCTTATCACATGTTCAAGGCAGGACTTAACCACTGGGCAGCTTCTGAAAAAGTTGCCCTAGGTGCCATCAAGGGTTGCTGGCCAAATACGGCAGGAGGGGAATGCCCACAGGAGCATCTTCCCTGTAACCAGGAGTCATGCTGAGTCCTGCTAGCAGCCTCTCCCCCTCCTCCTGGTCACCTGTCAGCTCAGGAAAGTGAGCCTCTGCCCTTGGAAGTCCCACTGTGCAGACGCTTCCCTTTTTCCCCGGCTGGTGGACACGAAGGATACTCATTTCACCCGAAGAGGTTGTGAGGTTTCATTGTTTTTGAAGAGACCCCAGAAGTAGTTTGAGTTGCAGAAGGGAGAGTGAACGGAGAGAAGGCATCTTTCCTCCCAACATGCCCTTGCGAGGTAGGGTGGGATGCCCAACTAGGGGAGGTCTGCAGTGAGTCCAGCTCTGTTCCTTCCTCATCCATCCTTGGGGAGCCCCCTCACCTCTCTGCTTCCTCTTGCAGACATTCTCTTCATGACTACCTGCCTGCCTTCCCTCCCTTCTTCTCTTTCTTTTTACAACATGATTTCTCCTCTGCTTCCTCATTCTGCCTTTGCTGAATCTAGCAAGGGTATGAAATTGGAGCAGGGTTCAAGATGAGAAGGAATTCCCTGGGCTAATCCTCTCCATGCTTGGCGGGGGGGACTAGCCCTGCAGGGGGTAGGTCTGCCAGCAGTCCAGCTCTGAACCCTTCCTGGGACACTGCTCTATACGGAAGCTGGAATGAGCACAGCCCGCCCCTGAAGGCCCACGTCTCAGTGGGGCTGGGACCCACGTGAGGCCACAGTCACCTTCTGCTTCATAAAAATAGACAGCAACAAGGAGAGAACCTCTCTGACTGCAAATGACCTAATGAGACAAATAAGCCCTTCTGATGAAGAAAGAATCTTAGCTCCTGCATCTCAAACAACTGAGGAAACCCAGGAGCTCCAGACTCGCACATTTTTAATGGGTGCTTTGGGGCCAGATGGTTGTGAGGGGCCAGGTCAATGCCCACACAGCTCTATCTTTGTGGCACAAAGCCTCTTTTCATCCATCACATACCACTACAGTGCTTTGCAAGGGCCCTTTTGGTTTTGTGAGCCCCTTTTTTTAAATGATCAACTTTTTTACATTCAGGCTTTGAGTGCATTCTTTGAGGTCATGGATGGTCCCTGAACAGACTTGGAGGCCAACTAAGCTGTTGGTACTTCTGAGAAGAGGAAGGGAGGAAGAAGAAACAAGGGAGATGGAGAAAGAGCCCCGTCCCCCCAAGTGCTACTGTCTCTCTGAGGATGGCCTTGAGTCCTGCAGCTGAGATGCTTACCAAAGGCTTCTGAGAGCCCAAACACCTTCTGGTTGTAGACGTCTGTCTTGTCCCATATGAAATAATAGGACAAGTCCGGGGCTGCAGCAAACCACTTCCTGAAGAGGCGGCCCTCAACGGCCACCATGAGGTGCACCTTCATGAGGTTGAAGGGGATGGTAGGGTGGGTGAGGCTGATCCTCAGGACAGACTTGTAGCCAGGGGTACGGCTGCTCAGGTAGCTCAGCCTCATCTTGCTGCCAGAGATAGCGATTTCCTCCTGCAAAGCCTAGAGAAACAGATTACACAGCAAGTGATGGTCAGGGACTCACGGGAGGAGGGGAGATGTCAGGCGCCTGCACTCTGGGTGACCAAGAGGCAGAGGAGGAAGCAGAGAGGGGGGCCTGAGGGGAGAGGAGGAGCAGGAACTAGAAAAGAGAGGAGAAGGAAGAGGGGGAGGCAGAGTATGAAGAGGTGCAGGAGGAGGAGGGAACCAAGAGGTGGAAGGCCTGGTTTCCAAGGCCAACTCCCTGTGGTACAACCCTGCCTCAGTGAGCCTCGGGTTCTCCCCCATTCAGCGGGGATGAGGACGCTCACCCTGTTGCATTACTGAGAGGAACACGTAGGATAACGTGTGTAAAATATTTATCGTCATGGTGCCTCTCATTCACTGGGGATGTCATCCGAGAAGCTCATGTAAGCTGTTGAATCTCAGTTTCCTCTCCTTTTCACTGGTGTGAGGACGGAGTAGGGTCACATACAGAAAGTGCCCAGCTCATAACAGGGGCTCAGTAAGCGGGACGATGGTGCTGTTACTGGTGCTGGTCCTGGGACTGGAGAGAATAGGAAGAAAGACCTTTCCCTCAGACTAATGCGGACAGCTGCCTCAGCAGGAAGGATAGTGTCTCCCTCAAAACTTCCCTAAAGTGAGAGCCTCCAATGGCTGTCCTCTTCAGGAAAGTAAACAGACCGTGAGCGGTTGGCCAAACAATTATGCAGGGTTGAGAGCACAGCCTGCCGAGGACCTGTGGCCGAAGCCCCCCCCAGCTCACCACGGAAAGAGGTCGAATTGGCGGCATGGAGTTTCCGTGCCCCGGTTCACTGAAGTGCTAGATGAACAGAATGGTGGGGAAGGCGGCACTTGATCTACTGGGTGCAGTGGGCTCAGTTCCAAGATGGAAACTTGAAAATCAACGCCAGGATGCTCAGGCACATGGCAAGAGCAGAGAACTTTTATCAGCTTGATGCTCTGGGCTCTGTTTCAAGAAGGGGACGTTAAATCAATTGAGGCTAATGCATCCATTAAAAGGACAAAAGAATCATTCTATTCTTGTGTTCATGGAGAAACTGGGCCTTCCCAAAGAAAGCTTTTTCCTTTCTGTCCATTTTGTATCATAGATGGATGTGAACTCTCTCCCCACCCCATTCTGAACACATGAAATTTTAGGGCTTGGGCCTAAAGCAAAGCAATCTTTCTAAAAAGCAGCTTGCAAGTTCTAGGCAAAGCAGGCTCTGCACCCCAGTGAACCACAGGTAGGGTTCGGGTGCCATCCTGATGCTCTCATAAATATGTATTTATCCTCAACATACCCTTTAAAATGTACATCTCGTAGTGCTTGCGAAGGCCAGCCAATGATAGGACTGGGAAAACCCAGGAGCTTATTTTCTTGTGTTTCATGAATCTGATAATAAGCAAGGTTTGTGACCCAGCTGGGCTTGCAGACACCCAGCCCAGGGAGCACTGTGAAGAGGGTCAGACCTTTAACCTCATCTGTTCCAAAGTCCCTGCTCCTGGGAAAATGTCTAGCTGGAGCTGAACCAGGGTTGAGTAACAAATTACTTCTCTCCAGCAAGCTCTGTCTTCACTGACAACCATTTCAAAGGAAAGGTCAGCCTGGTAGTTGAGACAGGAGACAAGCACTGCATCTCTGAAAAGGAGTGAGGGTTTCAACTTGTGGGTGCAACGAGAATTTCAAAATGGTCGTATGTCCTTCTTGTGGGCTGGTGCCTGAAGCCACTCACAGAGATGTGTCTGCTGGGCCAGGCATGGAACACACACACAAAAGTGTCTATGCTCCCTGCTCCGTGGGCATCAGCAACCCATTAACACGCACACGGCCTGAGCCCTGGTTGGGCAAGCGAGCCAGGCTGGGGCCTCTCCCTGCTGTCTCTCCTCTTCCCCTGGCATTTGTTCCCGCCATGAGAAATTGGGCTGGGATGGCGGGAGACATTTAACTCTGCACAGCTCTGTTAGGCAAAGAATCTAGCTTGATTTCCATTCAATTAAAATGCATCTTTTCCCAAATTACTTCCTTTTAATGATAATTAAGTAAAGCGATGCATGTAGACTTTAGCCAAAGCAATCCTTGACTGGCATGAAGGCGGTGTGTGTAAAATAATGTTAATAATAATAATACTGGCTAAAATTTATTGAGCACTTACTAAGCACTACACATTGTGTTAAGCACCTCATATACATTTTCTCATTTACTGTTTCTTATGATGCTCCTCTGTCCTACTCCTTTAGGGAGACCCTATCATCATAGTATCATAAAAAATAATCATAAATATTTTTTACAATAGAGGGGGACATTGGAGGCGGGGGCGGGGTGGAGGAAAGTGGAAGGGAACTGGATGGAGGACGAAAGGGAGTAGGAATTCACTCTGTGCTGGAGTGTGCCAGGCACCTTCAGGTGCTGGTGTGTTTTAAGTGTGTAAGAGGGTGCTGTGAGGCCTGGCAGCTGGATTCTGCAGGGTGCGCTGATGGGATCTCTGCAAACCACCCCCCCGGCTCTGAGACTCTCCTCCCCACCAATGGAACAAAAGCATGGAGAAATACAGTTAAGAAGGCTGGGTACCTGAATTTCTGGAACGATGGGGCCTTTCTCTGCACAGGACCTGGCGAAGGACGTCAGTGGGGATGGGGACACGACAGGGTTGGGGCGGGCGAAGTTGCTCAGGTCACAGCTGGGAATCTCATTCTCTTCGTGGCGCATGATGATGGTCTCCATGACAAAGAAGCGATCCCAAGGCAGCCAGAGGGTGTGCTCCTGTGTGATGAAAGGTGCCCGCTCGAACCGGAGGATGATGGCGATGCCGCCGTTTGTGACCAGGTCAAAGCTGTTTGGGAGGGGAGAGATGGAAAGAAGAGGGGAGCAGGAAAAGCAGGAGACAGGCGATGGGGGGGTGGGGGGGCGGAGAGACAGAGACAGGAGCAAAAAATTACACCAAAGGTCTGTGTACTTGTTGAGGAGACCCTAAAACTTAAAGACTTCACTAAAGCCACAAACAGTAACAGATTCCAGAAAGCATTGTTTGTTTTTTCGCAAAAATGATTCATTATAGAGATTTTACCAAAACCAACATGAATAATCACTGCTATGGAGAGTCATTTGCCAGGACAGAGGACAGATGATAGGCCTCTGCCCTGCTGCTTCTGGTACTTAGGGCCTCTTAGGGCTGAAGCCCAGGGAAACGTCAGCAGGACAAGTTGGAACAGATCCTACCCTGTTATTAGGAGTCCTAAGCCTAGTCCTGCCTCCGCTGTGAGATACTGTGTGATCTTGAGTACATCGCTTAGCCTCTCTGATCCTTAATTTTCTCATCTCTAAAATGGAAAGGTTCAAATGGATTTTTTATTCAAGTATAGTTTACATACAGTGTTATCTTAGGTTTAGGTGTACAATATAATGCTTCAACAATTCCATACATTTCTCGGGCTCACCTAGATAAATGTATTCTTGATCCACTTTATTTTACCCTCCCCCCCGCCCCCCCACCTGACAACCATATTTGTTCTCTGAATTTAAGAGTCTGGGCTTTTCTTTCTTTCTTTCTTTCTTTTTTTTTTTTTTTACTTTGATTGCCCCTTTTTCTCTTTCTTTGTTCATCTGTTTTGTTTCTTAAATTTCAAATGGATTATTCTTAAGTCACTAAGATTCTATGACCCCATGGCAATTTTAGCTCTGATTGTGATAGATGAGTCAATACAGGCCTCTGGAATTACAAAATGGCTAAGCAATTCAGGGACGGGCACAATTAGAATGACAGTACATGAGAAGTGGGAGAAGGAAGAGGTAGATTGCCCTGAACTCCCTGCTGAGGCGAGATCTCTGGCCGTGTCCCTGAGAGCCGGCCACCCAGCCTTCGTTCATGGACCTCTCCCAGTCTGATGCTTTTCTTCTACAGAATCACCACCAAGGGGCCATTTGGTTCCTACTTGCATGCTTCCGGTGTTGAGGAACTTGCTATATCCATGGCATGACTGTCCCGTCTTTGGTTAGTTCTGACTGTTAGGCCTTTTTTTTTTTGGGAATTGAGCCTGGGTGCCTCTCCGTCTAGCTACTTAGCCATGGGGCCTTGTTCTACCTGCTGGGGTGACTTCAAACTGGAGTGTCCCTTCTGCCTTTGACAGTAGTCCTTCAGGACTTAGAAACAGTGGTTCTGTCCACCTGCCACCTCCTGGCTCTGATGTCTGGAGAAAGTCCTTTTAGCTACTACTTTAGGATACATTTTCTTTTTTCTTTTTATTATTATTTTTTCTTCCAAATTTGTATTTAAATTCTAGTTAGTTAACATATAGTGTAGGGGTGCCTGGGTGGCTCAGTCGTTAACGTCTGCCTTCGGCCCAGGTCATGATCCCAGGGTCCTGGGATCGAGCCCCGCATTGGGCTTCCTGCTCAGCAGGAAGCCTGCTTCTCCCTGTCTACCCCCCTCTGCTTGTGTTCCCTCTCTCACTGTCTCTCTCTGTCAAATAAATAAATAAAATCTTAAAAAACAAAACAAAACAGATAGTGTAATATTGGTTTCAGGTGTAGAATTTGGTGATTCATCACTTACATGTAACACCCAGGGCTCATCCTAACAAATATCCTCCTTAATATGCATAGGATGCCATTTTCTTTCTTTCTTTTTTTTTTTTTAATTTTATTTATTTATTTGAGAGAGAGAATGAGATAGAGAGAGAGAGCATGAGAGGGGTGAGGGTCAGAGGGAGAAGCAGACTCCCTGCTGAGCAGGGAGCCTGATGCGGGACTCGATCCCGGGACTCCAGGATCATGACCTGAGCCAAAGGCAGTCGCTTAACCAACTGAGCCACCCAGGCGCCCAATAGGATGCCATTTTCAAGGCCTGTCCTCATCTTGCTTTTTTGATTGGAGAACTCCCGCTAACTCCTTGGCCCGACAGAATTCTAGCTCCCTCCCTTGGGCTCCCAGGGCACCTTGTACACTTCTCCTCATGGCCCACTTATACTGTGTTTAAGGCTCCAGCCCGGGGACAATGATTCCTCCATCTTTCTAGAACATAGCGCCATGCTTGATGGTTATAGTTTACCAAATGAATGCATGAGTGATGCTGCCAAGAAGGAACACCCTGGGTTCCTTCTTACTTTGGCTATTATTATGTTACCCCAACATTCACCCATGCAGTTGGTTTTAGAAACTCTAACATAGGACCTCACCTTTGTCCCTAGGGATGGGCTCACTGCTCCAGCCTGCTCTTCCCTCTTCTAGGGATTTTGCACAACTGCCCTGATCTGGTGCCAAATCCTGCTCTTGGTAGACAATGCCCCCAGATTCAGGTTTCTAGGCTCCAGAGCCTGACTTTTCTGTCCTTTGCTGAAGCTTTTTACCCACTTGGCCTGCTTTTCAAATCACTCAGCCCTTTTTAGACCCACACTCGGGTAGAGGAAGTGGGACAGCACCAACCTTCAATAAGCAGTGAGAGAGTTTATTTTGAATCAAGAGTTTAGGTTTCAGCTCTCTAGAAGAATATCCATGGTTTGGGGAAATACCCAGAGAACAACTTTCCTGTCACAGAACTGAATAGCATCTGTACTTTGACAGAGAATCTTTAACCATCGCACAGAATTTTGGCCCAACTTACAAGCTCCTTTCATGAGAGGACAAGTGTGGGGAGGAAGTGAAGACAAACATGAAAAGATGGATTCTCGAGGTGGTGAGCAAGCTGGGGGCAGCTGGCCTTGCCAAGAGCTGGGTGTAACTGGATCTTGCCAAGAGCCAAGCTGTGGACATGGGTGTGAATCCAACCCCAAAGGGAAGGCCTCGTTCTCAGATGAAGCCCAGAGAGCTGAAGGCCGGTTCAAGCACTGCCGCTTACGTAACATAGGTGAGTTATGTCACCTGGCTGAACCTCAATCTCCTCATGTAAAATGAAGCTGCTGATCATAATCACTTGGCAGAGTTATTAATTAATTTTTTTTTAAGATTTTATTTATTTGCGAGAGAGACAATGAGAGAGAGACAGAGAGCATGAGAGGGAGGAGGGTCAGAGGGAGAAGCAGACTCCCTGCTGAGCAGGGAGCCTGATGTGGGACTCGATCCCGGGACTCCAGGATCACGACCTGAGCTGAAGGCAGTCGCTTAACCAACTGAGCCACCCAGGTGCCCAGAGTTATTAATTAGATAAGGGATAATGGATGGGAAAAGCCCAGGGTCCCAATCCCAGGACATCATGCTCCGTATAACCCCATTTTTCAATTCAACAAGCCTGAACTGCCTCTCTTGTCTGCTATTCTTTTAAAATTTGTCTTCGTGACTTCTATTTTTCATCTTTTTAATGATCTCTGTGGCTCTGGGTGTCTAGTATTTCAGTATGGTTGTGTGTGGAAGGGGACCTGGGTGAGGAAGGGTAGGATGGGGCCTGCCTGGAAAGTGAGGGAGACAAAGCTGTGGTAGAATTGCTCCCCGGACTTGCATATCCTGTTACCTCCAGACAACGTCTCTAGCCTTATGGGTTCCCCTGCGGTGTGAGAGGTACGAAAGAAGGCGAGTCAGGGAAGTGGGAGGGAAATGGGCAAGACGCTGCCCATTCACACATAACAAACTGGAATTATCAGGCACCTGGAGAATACGTAATGTCTCTCTTATATGTGATACAGTGTCTACACTGGGAAGAAAAGTCAAGCCCCATAAAGCACTGGTGAGAACTGCTTTGAAACTCAAGCTCTAAGTGTCAGCAACTCTGGTTCTTAGGACATGATTTAGTAGGCTGATGACCAAAATGTGGCTGACACTTCCTCCCAGGCCCCCCCATGCTGTCAAGAGGCCATAGAGATCACGGGGGCAGCACACACGGGAGGAATCCAAGCCTGGAGGGGGTAGAGTGGGCTTTTCCCAAGGGCCAGCTAACTTACGTGACTCTGGGGTGTTTTACGGATCCACCCTGACCCAGCAGAGCAGGGCAAAGGACTGACGGTTTGCCATCTCACGTGAGTGAGAGGCACGTTTCATGGCAAAAAAAGAGCAGTCCCCGCGGCATTTTGATGACTGTTTCACAGCAGGTAATGATGTGGCCAGAATACCTGTTGCCTAGGATACTCACATCTGCCATTTCCATAGAGCAGGTAGCCCCAGGCTGGCAGGTGGTAAAGACAGCATGAGAAAGGATACTCTCCCACGATGTAGCGAACGTCTGTACTGACGTGCTTCCTGGGATGGGATGTGTACGGGGCAGGGGGCTGTGGTCTGGGCTGTGCCTATTATTCCCAGGACTGGCTGCCAGCCCCTTCTAGCTGGGCCCCTTCTCATTCCCGGGGCGGGGGGGGGGTCCCCATGCCAAGCTTGCCACGCTGTCTAAGAGGCACACATGTCTACAAACAGATGAGCCTCTACTTCATTATCACCTCGGCCGGGACATGTTCACATCTGATATTGGATTAAAGAGGTGCTAAAATCAATCAGGCTGGGGCATAATTTCCAACACAGAGTGAAAATCAACCTTATGGGCCCACACTTAGCCAGATGGCCTGCCACCACCTGATTTTATTAAAAATCGGGGACCTGTCACCACTGACAGCCTAAATATTCCACTTTCCTCCTTCCCTTCCCCTTTTCTCCAAAATACTCCTTTGGCTTGTACCGTAATCACCACCTTCTCATCGTTTAATAATTAGTAATTTTAATAAATGGCTAATATTTATTGCATCCTTACCTTGTGCCAGACCCTGGCAATAAAGCAATGAACCAGGGTGGGGCAGGGAAAGTAAGATTTATTAAACACCTACTATGTGCAAGGTGCTTCCATATCCATCACGGAATGTAATCTTTACAACCAGTTTGTGAGATGCTAGTATTAGGACCACTCACCAGTGAAGAAGTTGAGGCCTGGAGAGGTGAGGAGAACTGTCCAGCAAACGGAGGAGCTAGCATGACTGAAGAACCTTTACTTCCCTCTACAGACGGTTCTCACAGGGACCCAAAGGGCAGAGTTCTGGCATCACCCAGTGGCTTCCACAGACCTAGGTGGTTGCACTTGGAAACCACACAGCAGGAATGATAACATTTCTGGAGTTGTCTGGTCTGTAGAAAGTGTGGTCCATGTGATAGTATTTGATATTATAAGCCATGGAGCAGGATAATATGTATAAGGTGCCCTATGCTTACTCTGAGAACCAGATGAGAAGAAACCGCTTAATTTTTAGCCAAGGGGACTTAGGCCAGAGTCACTCACAGCTAGTGAGTTCCAGAGCTGGGCCTCTGAACTCAGGTCCCATCCTCTTTCCACGTTGGTCATTCCAGCAGCAACCGTGTGGCAAGGCCACGAGAACAGGACCGTCACTCCCTGCTCCTCTAAAGGTCTCCTACCTGCCATCTTGCCTGCTGATTGTGTATCCAAAGAGAGGGTTATTGACGAAGCTGATATTCACACCAACCAGCGGGGTCCCATCTGACGTCATCACTTGACCACGAATGACACAAGCATGCCTGTGGGTAGAGAAGAGAGAATAACGTGATCTGCTTTGCATGCTCAGAACCCTGGCTGGCAGGGAAACCCTGGAGGTCAGATGACAGAAGGCAGGCTGCTCAGACATATCTTGGTACCCAGGGGCTCATCATCTTCACTCAAGAGGAGTAACAACCTCCTTTTTTTCATAGTGCCCCAATTTAAGACATCAAAGTGTCCTCGAAAGGCTTATTCCTGGGAGATGTTTTCAGATACCTTACTCAAAGGTCATTCTCTAAGGATACTATGTTATATCATAAGGAGATAAGCTGATACAGGAGGGCTGCACGGTGGAGTCACGCCTGAGAATCCGGAGTCAGCTCTGCCACTTTCGAGCTCTCTAAAGTTGCAAAAGTATGTGACGGCTCTCTGAGCGTCTTTTTTTGTATCCTGGTACAGAGTAAGCTCCATAAATGGCAGTGGTTATTACTGTCACTAAGAGTCTCACTGGAGGTGGGCATACAAGAAAGAGAACAGGAGAGACAGCAATTCCTCTCATTGGGCTTTAGAAACAGGACAGATGCTAGCATTCCCCTGGAGTGGGTTCTGGAACCTTTGGCATCTCCCAATATCCCCACTCCCACTTTCCCACTATATTCCAGACAACACACCCTCTGTTTTCCCCAAACCTGCCAGGCACATGTAGCCCAGGCCTCCATGTTTGTGCAGTGTTCTCCCACGTGCCACAGCTGTCACTCCTGCACCCCTCCCCCAATACTCCCATCCTTCATGACTCAGCTTCGAATGACCTCTTCCCTGAAGCCTGCCTTGATGGCCCCAATTGGCACTAGTTACTTTCTTCCAAAGCCCGACACAAACACCTTGCTACCCTACCACTTATACACGGTTCTCCCCTCCACTAGATCGGGAGCTCCTTGAGGGCGGGGTCGAGGGCTCTTTCTTTCCTTCTCTCTGCAGTGCCTGGAAATGCCTAATGAGTACTAGGTCATTGTTTCAAAAAAATGGTGGATTGAGTGAATAAGTGGGACAATTAGAGATCATCTAGAATGATGGTTTTTCAGATATATCAGAAAGGGAACCTTTTTACCAGATGATATTTTATAAGGACCCAACAAATAAAAACATGAAAAAGAGATTTGGGGTGATTCTGAAGGCAGCTCTGGAGTCTTAGTCTCAGGAGAAGCCAGAGAAAAGCCAGCTGGAAAACCACTGAGTTAGTGGAAGAGGAGGAAACTGAGGTCCACAGAAGTTATGTTATTTGCCCCCAAGCCACACAGCAGGGTAGTGGTGGAGCCAGGCCTCGAATCCAGGGCTCACAACTCTGGGTCCAATTCTAGACGAGTCTGCTTACCACTGGCAATGTGCTCAACAGGGTCAACATCCTAAGGTATCAGGGCCCTAGGGAGACAGCCCCCACAGACAAGACAAATCTGAGGCAAATACGCAGGCGCGAGTATCCAGACAATTTTTCCACCCGCCTCGGTTCAGAAGGCTCTTTTTTTCTGGCCTAGGGAAGAGCTACTGACGAGACCTGTGGGCATTCATAAAAAAAAAGATCTCAGACTCAGCCTCTGCTTTATTAGGTACTTACATCTCTACCTTCCTAGAGTGATAAACTTTTCTCTGTTTGATGAGAAAAGCAATTAACACCAGGCTTGTAAGCAGCTGGTCTCGCTAGTGTCAGCTTGTCCTTTCTGAAGGCAAGAACAACTACCCACAATGCAGCAAGCTCCCCTCCCCCGCCCCGCCCCGCCCCACCTCACCTCACTACACACAATCTGGTTAATGCTAATTCAGTCAGTGGTTTCCTTCCGAGGCCCTTGGTCTAAATGCAATTACATGACAAACAAGTTAAGCGGTGAGGCTCAGCAAAGACTCTCAGTCCTGCTCTGAAGGTCTCCCAATACATTTATGTGAAATTATCTCTCCACTAATGGGAAAGATTTATTCCATCAATTGTATTCAGCTGGTACTGAGAGATGCTTTCTTTAATGGAAGAAAATTGAATTTCTTATTGCTGGAACTTTGTCCTTCCAGAGAATTACTAACAGATCTCATCTCCCGGTGCTGGCTACTATCCAGCCTTCTCCTGACATATGTGCCTTCAGATTGTGCCTGGACAATTACCAGCCCTCTGGGGATGGTTTCCTTTTGGGGGCTGCCCTTGGCTGCTCCCCCTCATACACATGCGGGCCAGCCTCCTCTGATTTATCTCTCCTTGGGGATTTCCTGATAATTGGGAAACATTAAATCAGCACCATTTGGCTATCATGTAGCCTTCGCTTGGGCAAGCCAGAGCAGATGTAATTTTAGGCCAGGCTCCTGTGGATTGCTTTGGGTTCTGGAGAAGATTAAGTTGACTCCCCGTACCCCCGTACACCACAGAGGCCTCTTGCCAAAACAGGCATTTGGCTCAGGAATTAAGCCCTGGAGAAAAGCACTTTCATCCTCCTTCTGTTTGACCATGATTTTCAGTTGTCAAGAAGACCCAATTTAACATGAAGACTTCTCTGGGACAAAGGAGATGGGAGAAGTCTGCTCTGTGGAGACCTCTGAAATGTGTCTCCTGCCATGTGTTTTTGTCCAGGGAGGTTTGAAAATGTGTGGGTGCTGGGCCAAATGCTTTCCCATTTATTTAATGGACACCACCCATGATGTACTGGTAAACATTTAACAATCGGCTTTCAAAAGAAAAATAGCTTTAATTTGTAGCCTTTGCTTATTTCTGTGGTGTAAATACTTCTGCCGTGGCTGATTTCATGCTCTTAATGAAATGCCACTGAACCCAGAGTTGGGAAGAGATGCACGGGAGGACTCCATTATACAGTAGTTCCACCACAGAGACACAAGAGTCCTAAGAAACTCAGGAGCAAAGATAATAGTAAAATACAGTAAAATAATTAGGAAGTGATGGGCTTGGATTATTTGCTATCTTTGTTTTTAATATAACTTATTTACTTTTAATTTCATATAATTTAATTTTTTAATAACAGTAGTGTTCAAACACTAGCTTGCAGAATTCCTGAACATTTCATTCTCAGCTCCTGCGAGCTGGCACGAGCCAGCTTCTGTGCACCCCTGGAATACTGACCCCACACTAAGGGTCAATGTGGCTAAGAAATAGCTGCTGCTTTGACTCTGAAATTCTATGGTGGAAGACCACCTCGGTGAGAAATCATTAACGTGGGGTGCAGCTCATGGTCACACATTCGGCTCCCCGGCTGGCTCATATGACCCCCTCATGACCAGTCCTATGTCTGACACGTTTTGCTTTTCCTTGGTCACTGTCTGGGCATCATGGAGTTCTGGGTATTATTTTCTCCTTGTCCTCAGATTCCCATCTAAGCTGTCATCACCTCAGCGAGGCTGTTACGACTCTTCCTGGCACAATTAATCACCTCTCCTCTAGGCTCCTCTAGATACTTCCAAGTACCTCTTCATGGCCGTGACAGTCATAGAATTCTATCATTCACATATACAGAGCTGAATTTACACATTTGTGCGTACGAGTGAGCTGGAGGAGGGCTGGGACCACATCTTCAGCGGCTAGGGTAAGCATGGGATCTTGCTCCCTGAGTGTCATTTAGGTGAAAAAATGATCAAGGGCTTGAAACGCAGAGAGGAGAAACTTGCTCAAGGTCATACAGCCAAGACCTCAACTGGCTGAACTGATGCACCAAGCTAGGACTTCTCACTTCCAGGTCCTTACTCTCACCACGATGTTGTGTACCTGCAGTCACTGAAATTCACTTGAATTAAAAACCTGGGCACCTACTTCATAAGCTATGTGCTGGGGTTGTAAATGCATGAATTACAGTCCCCACTTGCTTGCCGGAGCTCCCCAGAGCCAATTTGAAATGCTGTCTTTGACACAAGTGAGTCAACACATGGGTTTGGCATATGTCAGGCAGCTGGGGTACAAAACAAGCAATTAGGTTGAGTGAACTCTGCCAGGAAGGAGCGCTCATGCCAGGCCAAGGGGGGAGGGGCGCATCATACATGCTGCCATTAGTCCAATCCCACAGGGCCTGACCGAGGTACCCTTACTGACACCAGTGAGGAGGAAGAGCTGCCTGACTGCTTCCTGAGCACAGTGACCAGGTTTGGGGTCAAGAGAGGAAACTGTTGGAGAGACAAGAACACCTCAAAACACAATCAAGCAAATAAGAAACGACCCTCAAGTGTCGGTCAGGGAGAGGTGGGAGGCGGCGTAGTGGAAAGCGCCCCGGGCAGGGAGTCAGTCCCTAGTTCTAACTCTGGTAACTAACGGTATGACTTTGGAGAGTCATCTGACCTCTCTGGACCGCCATTCTCAACTGCCCATCCAGGCTGAAATTTTTCCCATCCTGATGTCAAATAGAATCCAATGCATGTTTAAGAATGTATAATAGTGTTAATACAGTGCTACCCGATTTAGCTCAAGGAGCTCTATTCCACCTTGTTTCAGAATCTCCATGGAGCTGTTCCCTCTCTATGGAAGCTTCCGCCTATCCCGTTCACCTGAAAACCGCCTGCTTACCCTCGGGACCCCCGTGGAGCATTCACCAGGTGGCACCCCTGCTCCCGCCCCTCTGGCCTGCCTCTGTAAAACCTCAGCGCTGTCATGCCGTGGGAGCCGTCTTCTTCCCCGGCAGACCATGAGCTCCTTGAAGACAGGCGCCACATCACCTTCACTGCTATAGTCCTAACATTGAGCACAACTGATGCTCATTTCTAAGTGGGCAGAAGAACGCCTCCACCAAAACGGGTGTTTGCCCTGGAATCTGAACGCAGGGCACAGTGTAAGCTCTTGGTACATTATTTACTGGATGAATAAAGAACTGATGTGTTTCTGTAGCTGAAGGCGGGGGTGATGCCTGAGAACTTGCAGCCACATGACCTTGACAGGGATTTGGCCAAGGAAAAGAGGTCTGGAGGGGCTGGCCCTCTTTAGCTGGTCAGCCAACACGGCATCTTACCCCCGGGGGACCGGTCCCACTTCAGCTTGCAGCCCTACCGCTTGGAGTTGATGGCCTCCTTG